TATGTATGTATGTATGTATGTATGTATGTATGTATGTATTTATGTGTATAAACTGAAACAGCTGGACTAGTGCATCCTAAATTTAACATACATTTATTATTTTAATATGACATATTCATTTCTGCATTGTTTTGGGGAGGTCACCTCCTAATAAATGTCATTACAAAAAATATAACTGCTCATTTTAAATCAACACTTTTATTTTTAATACTTAAATACAAAAAATATCAGATACTTTAATACTTTTACTCAAGTAATAGTCCTAAAGCAGACTTTAACTTTTGCCAAAGTAATTTTTTGGTAAGATACTTACACTCGCGGTCGCTAATTTACATAAAAATGAGACAACTCAGTATGAAACAAAAGCAGTCTAATTCTTGTGCTTTATGTGTTTCAAGTGAGAAGTTGCATCGGTGCTTCTTACAAACTCACCAAGAGAACCCCCTGAGCCCTTATGTGAATGATCCATTTCCCAGGATTCAGTGCAAAAGGCTCAATGAAGCCCTCTCCGGGGACTGTGACGAAGGACGGGGAGGGACTCGGAGGAAATATTACTTCTTTACTCTGATCGGTCCCTGCAGGGCAGTGAGCACAGAAACCTGTCCTAAGTGTCATAAACTTGTGGAAAAAGAAACTAATCGACACTGAGACACTTAATGACACGTAASGATGGGTTAGATTTGACAGTTGGATGGTAACTAGTAGCACGGTCAGAGGCAGCCTTACCTGCAGAGCCTCTGTTAGCGGTAGCCCTGATGCTACCGGCCACACTGATGCTGTTGGGGTTAATGAACCGCAGAACCACACGGAACAAGTTCTGCCTCCCGTCTTTCGGCTCAACATGCACTGTTACTCTGACGTCACTCTGCAGGGATGACAGTTACACTATGGGTTTGAGTATCCGACGATGTCGGAGTGAAGTTAAGAGGAAGAATGGAGTCAGGGCGAAGCGGCGAGTGGGTTACGGAACAGACAGGAAGCTAGGGGATGATACGAGTTAAAGCACAGCAGCCCTTCACTTACAGTCGCAGCAAGTTTCAGCTTCGTCCACCACCAAGATCCACGCTCTCACTCGCTCTCCCCCCGTGTGTAGGGGAGCCGAGTAGCGCATTAGAATGTGGAAGGGTCCAGGAAAGCCAAGGCTAAGCGTTAGAATCACTTCCGGCTGGAGACAGAGAGTGTTAGTTCTAGGAGCTGATTCCCCCCACGTCAGCTGTGAAACAACAGGAGGATGTGCGCTTCATGGGTGATTATTGGTGCAGGAAGCAAAAGCAGAAAGATTTTTTGTGACATCAGAGCAGACTGAGAAAAGAAACCTGTAGTCGCAGATAATCCATAAAATAAAGTTGCGCTGTGATTCTCAAATCATAGACGTTAATGTTAAAAAGGCAAACCTGAGCGGGTGACATTATGGCATAACCTCTCCAGCTGAATTCTGGGAATTCTTGGGAGTTGAACCCAAAGCGTACTGGTCTGGCGTTTGGCGTGGTGCCATCCTCCACCTCAAACTTCAACTGGTGCAAGGTGGGGAAATAGTGGCTGATGGCTGGCCTGATCACAGTAAAACATGTTTATTGAAAAACATAAAAGATTTGAGTCATTATAAAAACAAATAAATAAATAACGATGAACCATCGTACTCTGTGCATCGACGGCCAACAATATTCCTCCGACACCGACACTGTCCAGACGTCTCTTCACACGCCGTTTCGATGGCACCTCCCACATCACACTGACAACCTGTCAGGCAGAGCGAAGAGACAAGAACATGGACTGACAGRTAATCTAATCCGGCCCGGAGCTCCGCACACGCAGACTACGTGCTGCAAGTAAGGCATCAAATGCACAGGAGTGGGCACAAAATGAAATCTGGTTCATAAAAAATAACATTAAATTTAAAACAGGTTTAGATAAGCAATACAAAACTAAGATATTAGGCCCCTCCTCTAGTCTCCATGTGGTTCCCCTCCTGATCTATCAGAGTGGTCTGTTCCATTCCAGTTAAACAGTTGAGCTGTGTTTTGGATGGGCCTGGCCTCAAGGCTTCAAGAAAAGACAGATGCTTGTGCTTACAGGTAGGATGATGTTTAAATAATTGACAAATGAAAAATTCATAACATTTAATCCTTATATGCTCATGCCAGGTTTCACCACCGTTTGTGTTTTTTGTGTTCATGTTTTTTTGTGTGATCTGAATTATCCTCCTCTGCACTTTTTTTATCCTTCACCTTTGCAAAAAAAATTCTTACCTTTGCAAAAAAATAAATTCTTACCTTGACAACCAAAATAGTTCCTTTTTTGCAGGAGAAAGAAGCCATCCTTGCAAGAGTCACATGTATGGCCGCAGGCGTTCGGCTTGCAGTGACACTGTCCACTTCTCTGAACAAACGAATCGACAAGCAGAAAGAAACTTTTACAAACAAACATTTACACTTTTTGCCTTGTTGACATCTTCACATCAATTCAGTACAATCAGACTGCGTTAATGTGTTTGGGTTGGTGCAAATAAATATCCTCACCTGTTCACATTCTCCAATGCCACTTAGCGTCCCTTTCAGTTCACACTGACACTCTGGAATGAGGAGAAGATGGGGTGGGGGGAATGAAACCAAAAACAGGGGATATGCAGTGAATAAGCTCTGATTACAGGCTTGTGTAACTTGTGAAACCCAACAACACAAAACCCTTCAATGTTCAGAGATCCACAACATCAAAGGTCCACAAGCACAGGGGGGAGAAAAAAATTAAACTTTCCCTGAATATCCGGCCACAGTGAACCTGAGGCATTCCTCAGATATTAAAAAGGCTTCTCGTGTCTTCAGGCAGAGTGGCAGAGATAACCATCTTGCAAGCAAGCGGAACTGTAACAAAAAACTGGGGAAAACTTGGCGCTAAATAAAAAAAAAAGAAAAGCAACGTTCTTTTTTCTTTCAATATGAGCTCATTTTATGTGACTGGGACATAAACTATATAGTTTAAATGAGGACAAATCAAGCTTTTAATGTTTTACTGGGCACAGAACAAAACCTCACACCTATAGTTGAGAAATCCTCCAGGAGTTAATCTCCCGTTCTCCCCTGAGGGATGGGAAAGTCGAGCCTGTTGACAGGGGCATGTTGACATATCCTTGGGTAAAAGGTTTCATATCAGACTGCTTCTGGCAGCGTGACAGTCTGGTTAAAAATGGCGTAAGAAATAATCCTGTGAGAAACAGAGTTCTTTCTTTTTGCGATCCTTAAGCTAAGCATTCATTCTGTTAACTTAGCATTTTCCCACAAACTGACTAGTGCTCAGTTTTTATTTGGACATTTCTGGTGACCCACCGACGCAGCCGTGAGGGTTTTCAGTTGCGAGGTTCCAATAGAGAGGTTTACACCTGTCGCACAGCGCTCCCTCTACATGTGGTCGGCAGCGGCAGAAACCCTGAAACAACARATGGGAAATCACACTGCTTATACTAAGCATACACTTCATGCTGCTTTTTTTCTTTTCTTTTATCCACACAAGAGTTAAAAGTAAAATAAGTCATCTTTATCACCAACTACCAAAGGAAAAAGGTGATGCTTTTTGCATTTGTGTGTGTTCATTAGTCTGTAATGTTAGCAAAGTATCTCAAAGCACTTGATGGGTTTTAATAGAACTTACAGAAAGTAATCATCGGCTGTGTATGTGTGTTTGTAATGATGCTTACCTCCACTAAACATATGCATTCATATTTTGATGCTTTTATRTTGAAATGTTTTTATGACCACTGTGCAATCACCTTTCAATATTACGGTGATTAAGTTGTTCTTATTAGAAGGAAGCAAAGTGAAAGTTATGCCCCGGGTGGGACATTTAAACTGGCTTTTCAGATCAAAGGAAAAATATCTAGTTTCTATTTAGTTAACGCAATAAAACAACGCAGACACACGTAACATTTTCTTATTTCAGAGTGCAGGATTTCCTTGTTTTTGAAAATCTGGTCACATGATTAGGTGAGGTCACTTCCTGTGCTGCTGTGATGCCAAGTTCCAGAAGTGTGACCTGGTTTTAAAGAAAACTTGTCGTCATGCGCAGTTCAGAGACCTGAAGCAGAGGCTGACGGCAAGTGAGCCAGAGTTGAGATATGTATTTTATATGTTGGCAAATAAATGTTCAAGGCTAAGAAGTGGATCGGTTTCCTGCATCTAATTCAGGCTTTTAATTTGAACGTTTTACAATAAAACTGATTAACTTTGGGAGTTGTCCCAAGAAAACGGCTACAAAATAGTYAGTTTTACCATTAATCAGCTAAAATTTGACGTGGCGGTAGCTGATAGTATTTTCCAACACATACTCTAAGAGTTAACAAATCACACAAATATCAAATGAGACTGTGAATATTGTTATTTTTAAAGTTTCACAAAAATGTCTTTAACTTGTTTCTGAAACTCTGTCATGAAAAGCGTCAGGTGATATGCATTCCTTCAAGTATTACTAGGCCTTTAACGACTTTGTGTGCTTGTTTCTTCCTCTTCAACATGGAAGGAAGTCTCTCTTTTTTCCTCTTTTAATTACCTTTGCATCAGATGACGACAAGCACTTCCTTGTTTTACGGTTCAATAATCTGACCAAAGTTCAACTGTGTTATCAGCTGTAGTCCAAGTGGATCCACGCCCAGCTTGTGCTGGAACGACTTCTTGTTTTCAAGGCTAGTGGAAACTCAAAGGACATGCAGAAACTGAAAGGAAAGTTTACTGGGATTTTCTTACCGTTTGACGATCAGGCACGTCCGTTCCTGCAGGGTTACACACACTGATGGATGCTGAAAATAAAGAATGTCATTTAAGACGAAAGTGGGTCAATTTGGCAACAACAAAGGCAACTGTTTTAATGGATAAAAGCAGTTTTTTTTCTTGTTTGGCTTCACCTAAAACATTTAAATTTTATTCACTTTGAGTTAAATTCTGACTAACTGTGCCCGTAAATTAAATCTTTCACGAGTTTGATGGTTCTAACAGATCTTACCTGAGCAATGGGGGAACCTGAGCCCAGAGGCACAGCGATCACACTGCTGGCCCRCCACACCCGGTAAACACAAACACTGACCCGATAATGGATTACATGTTGTTCCATATGAGCCTTGACGTGAACACTGACAGGCTGGGGATAAAAAAAAAAGAAAAAAGAAGAATTTGTACTGCTGCCATTCTTTTTGATTCATATGAGAGCAAAGGTTAATGATGATTGTAGAGATGAGCTGTTTATTTTAGGAAACACTTTTTCTTCAGCGATTCCCAGATGTTTATTCTTAGGGAGCTCATATGTTCACTTGTCCATCTACATCACTGCAAAAAATTAGCGCAAATGACAAAGTAGAAGTTTTCTAGACCCTGTGGGAGAGTGAAGATTTTATGCTCCTGTGTCATGAGAAAAGGTCAGAATGAAAGCACAAAACAGCAATGTTTTTACGAGGGTTTATATCCTTAAAGCTAGCAAAAAAAGGGGGGGGGTGATTGGACTTTTTAGTTTTCTTTTTGAAAGAACTTCATTTAAGTTTTCCCGAAGTAAAGTTTTGAAGTTTTAATATAACCTTTAGAAGGGAGGGAAGGGACGGTGATTTGCATGTTAGTTTAGATAACATAAACAGAATATTTCAGTTTAAATAAAGTGTCATGAATGAAAAGCAAAAATAATAATAATAATCTGACTTAATTGACAAACTTCATCCAAATATAGTCAAGCTCACAAATGACTGCGGTTGGTTTTTTTGTATTTTTAAATTTTTTTTGGTTGGAAGCTGAAACGTCTGGAAATCCCTGATCTGAACAAACGCAGACAATAATAAACTCATTCACCAGCGCAGTCTGGGTATCCGTAGTAACCCGGGGCACACTGGTCACACTCCCATCCCACGAAGTTAGGGAGGCAGACACACTGACCGTTTGCATCACACACACCTTCAGCCACACCGGCACCATCGCAGCGACAGGCTGAGAGAAGAAACAAAGTTCAAAAGGATTCAAACTGAACAAGTAAAAGCATTTTTACGTCTTACATATATATATATATA